TGAGGCCCCTGTCCCAGCGGGAAGGGCCCTGAGGGGCTGCTTGTAGCTCTTTTTTAGAATCTGGAGAAGGGAAGAGAGAGGGGATCCCCTCAGTCCATACAGACATCTCCAGGGGTGACAGAGGATGGTGCCAGACTCTGTTTGGTGGGTCCAGTGACAGGGTGAGGGGATATGGCCATAAATTAAACCACARATTCCACCCCAACGTGAGGAAGAACTTCCTTGCACAGAGAGGGCAGAGCCCTGGAGSAGCTGCCCAGAATCTCCTCTCTGGACACATCCCAATCCCACGGGCACGTTCCTGTGTCTCTGCTCCAGGTGACACTGCCAGGACGATCTCCAGTTTGGGGTTTGGTGCTGGGATTCTGTGATTTTTCACAGATACCGATTTTCAGAAGCACACAGCTCTGCTTGAACCCTGCGTGAGAGCTGCACGCTCCTCAYGTTTTTCACTAAAGGCATTTTGCACCTACACTGACTGTTTCCTGATTTTCAGCTTTGCTGGCACCCAGGAGGCRCAGAGCAGCAGAGCCTTGGGTTAACTGCTGTTGAAAGTAATGCGTTTCAAGTGCTAATAAATAATTTTTGTCATTGGCAGACAGGGTGATGATGTGACTCAGGGTCAGATACTGAAAAATAATGAGCTTTGCATGAGGTGCTGTGTCAGTTGTGTTTTCTTGTTAAGGAGAGATGTGATCTGGTTGTAATAGTTACCGGTTATTGTTGTGATAGCCGCTGACAGGACAAGGGGAGTGGCTTTAAACTGTAATAATGCAGGTTTRGAGTAGATAAAGGRAAGGAATTGTTCTCAGTGAGGGTGGGGAGGCCCTGGCACAGGGTGCCCAGAGMAGCTGYGGCTGTCTGTGAATCCCTGAAGTGTCAAAATCCAGGTTGGATRTGGCTTGGAGCAGCCTGGGRTGGTGGAAGRTGTCCSTGTCCATGGGACAAAGATGAACTTTATGGTTCCTTCCATCCCAAACCAGTTTGTGATTCAATGATTGCCTTGTGTTTGTGTCCACAAACACATTCAACCAGTTCTGTTTATGGCACATCGTCATTGAAATGGGCAAGGGTGGGGGGGGCAAGTAAAAATTACCAAATTTTCTGAGAGAAACATCTTCAAAACCCTTTGAGAAAACCCTTTGAGGGTTAGGGAAAGTTTTGAAGCCGTGTTTTTGGGCCACAGAGAGCTGTACGGCATTTTTAAGGAAATGCATATTACAAGTGCAGCTCTGGGCTCCTCAGTACAGGGAAGAGGCCACCACACTGCARCCAGTCCAGCAGAGAGCCCCAAAAAGGATTAAAGGTATTTGAAATACAGGGCAAGGCTGAGAGAACTGGGATGCATCAGTCATGGGGGATCTTCTAAATATTCATAAATCTGTGGTGGAAGGGAATGAAGAAGATGGAGCCAGGCTTTCTTCAGAACTGTGCAGCAACAACACAAGAAGCAAAAAATAAAAACTGATAGATAAATGTTTCCACTTAAACAGAAGAAATATTCACTGCTATAGTAATTGAGCACCAAAACAGGTTCCTTAGAGAGGGCTGTGGCACCTCCATCCTTGAAGATAATCAAAATCCAAATGGAAACAATCCTGAGTAACCTGCTGCAGTTGACACTGATGTGAACAGGGGGAATGGACCACACAATCTCCAAAGGTTTCTTCCAGCCTCAGCTGTTCTTCATATCCATGATTCCCTGATGTACTTGAAAAAAAGTCTTTGTTTTGTTAGAAGCAGTAGATTTTTTTCCCTATGCTTTGTTATAAATTCAGTTGTTATAAATCAGTGAAATTTTCTGAGTGTTCTTTTTACGTTCCAGTACTAAAATTCAGCTTGCTCTGCAGGTATCGTGTARCATGGCAGGTGAAGAAGACTTCTTTTTGGAGGAGAAAAGATTCAAGCAGTACTGTGAAGACTTTGTKAAACATTCGCAGCAGATAGGCGACGGTTGGGAGTGGAGAACTAGCAAGGTAAAACAATCAGACTGTTTTAGATGGGCTTTTGGAGCTGGAACATCCTTTAACAAGACGTGAAACAAATGGCATTTTTTACCATTTCCAAGTCTGAAATAGTGCATGGATATGTTGATAYGAGGGTTTAGGCCAGTGCATATATTGAATAGGATTGTGGATCTCTGAATCCTGTCCAATATATAAAAYTCCTTTTCCTGCTTTGGGCAGGACTACACAATAAATGTGGTGTCACTGTGAAATTCACACTTTCCTACTCTTGTGGTTTTATATCCAAGGTTCACTTTAAGGCTCACTTTTTTTTTCTTTAGGCTGTAATAGTACGTAGCCTTTGTTCTAGATCCTTGGCTTAGTATTTTCATTACAGTACATTGCAGTTGCATACAGCAGCCAGAAGTATCTGCTAGTATTAATGATCAATTCTCATTATTTGCTGGTTCTCCATAACTTTCAAATCTCTGCAATAATAATTACATATTGTTTCTAGGTCATTGATCAAAATTTTAAATAGCACATAGCTAAGACTAGTCCCAAAGGACTCCATTAGGATAACTTCTTTTATGATGATTTCCCCATWTTTTTAGATAACGTTTGAGATCTGTGAATTAGTAAATTTTCATCCTATAGCATGTGTCAGATTAGTGTGGGATTATTTTAATTTTTTWAAATTTCCACTTGTGGRATCAACAGATTTCTTAGGGAAATCTGAACATGTGTTGTTCCAACTTGTACGTTTATCAGCCAAACATGTCTTTTGAAATTACACTAAGTTCTGTTTTCCSTAAGAAAAATGAATTTACTGTACGTGTTTTTTATTTATTGAATTCTGTATGGCTTCTGTTACTTCACTCAGGATAATGTCAAACTAGTGTGTGTGTAGGTACACAAATTAGCCAGTATATAATATTTATTATAATATATAAATATAGTGTATAAATATGTTACAGTAAATGAAGATGTATTGATACACACTGGCTTTCTCCAGCATGTAAGTTCTCTTTTCTGTTTATTTTTTCTGTTTTATAAAATTTGCTGCTCTAGGGTTTTTTTGAAGAGTTTAATCGATTTAGTGGTTTTCCATGCTCTCATGACTTTTGGGGGAAAACAAAATTCTTTTTCGCATCTATGCCATCATTTTTACATATGAAATTGTACATTAATATTTGTAACCCTTTCGTCACAGGTGATCAGAATTTCAGTCAGAAGCAGGACCTTGGACTTAGATTTGTTCTCTTTAGTAGTTTTTAAAAGAGTGCAAATATTAGCCAAGTGTTACAATGCACCCTTTCTTACAGAAAACTATTTGAAACTTTAGATTTCAGTCCAAGGCTATATTTGTGAGGATTTATTCAACAAAGAAAGATGCTCTGAGCCTCTACTGGGAATTTAATACACGGGTCAAAGTCTGAACTTACTGTGAAATAAGAAGCTTTGCTGGAAATAGCAGAATGAGATAGATTTTTGTTCTCATATAAAAAAATTCTAAGAGAGTTGTTTGTGTTTTTTTTTAATGGACCGAGTTGGCGACTCTGTGATTTCAGTGTGTGATAAAATCCTGGCTGTGGAGACCATCCATTTATAGTCTGGAGTCTGGGAAGAAAGCTTTTCTTCAACAAGATGTCTCATTGTCTTTTTGCCATTTTTTTTTAAATTTTAAACCAGTATATGTGTTGTGGGTAGTTTGGGGCACTCTTAATTTTGCTGATGTAATGCACTTGGATCCCATTCCTCATTCCTGGCTCACGTGAATAGACCCATTGATAGCAGTGAGACCACACAAGTGAACCGTGCTTGTACTGTGTTCCTGTGTTCCCGTGTTTTCTGAGGAGATTAAATTTAGATGATGAAATACTCATTGTTCTCGTGGAGCTGGCTCTTGGTGCATATGCTCACATGGCCCAAGCAGAACCCTGTATTTATAGCTGTAAGTGAAATGTTCTAAATGATGTTATTTTTATAATGTGTTTTCTTGGTTTGGGTTGGGTTTTTTTTTTTTYCCCACCAGAAGAAAGCTGTAAAAAAGCCAAGAGCACCTCTACTGCAGGAGCYGGTGGAGCTGAACTTGGGTGCTGCCCTTAGGGATGGATGGTTAAATCTTGCTGTGGAGGTCAAGAGTTAACTAAAGCAAACGAGGTCCTGTTTCCTCTCTGCTTTATGTTTGTTTYGTATTTGGTCAGGTTAATCCAGGTAATTTTATTGAAAGTGGCATAATTCCCTTTTGCTCATGATGCAACTGCAGTAGGAAGGTACTCCCTTTGCACATTGGTGGGATCAAGGTTCTGGCTAAAGCTTTGATTTGTAGGGGCAGAAGCGTGCAGAGGAGAAAACTCTACGGAGTGCAACAGGAGGGATGCTCCTCCTTTCTGCTTAAAAAACAGCTACAAAACACAGAGACTTYTAGCTCCAAGTCTCCATCCATCCATCCATGTTTTTCCATGGTACTCGTGCTACAGAACGCAAAGGCTGTGGAGTTTGGCTGTGCTGCGTCGGGGGAAGAACTGGTTCAGGGAGGTGGAGGCTCTGTCCAGTCCTGCTCTGGCAAAGCTCGCTGTGCTGTGGGGCATTTCACCTCTGTGGGTGGCTGCAGCACTTCCTCTGCTGCTCTTAGAGGGACAAATACCTCTGCAGGTATCTTTAGGAAGCCCCACAAGGTGTTGAGAGAATTGGATTTTCTATCACCAGTTTAGCTTTGGTTTTTCTGTCACCATTCTCTGCATGCAGAGGATTCCTTCCTACAGCTCAGCTCTGCCATGGAGGAAAGTTTGGTGGGTTCATGCTCTTAATGAGGTTTATTGAGAAAATAAGGCATGCAGTAGGTGAAGCTGTGACCTATGTAATTGCCTATAGAGTCATTGATGCTTACAAATTAATGGAAAAAATACATGTAGAGAACATTATCATTTCTGTAATGTGTCAAACTTGATCACAACAAAGTAAAGAAATAGCCCATAGCAAATTTTGGAGGTATATATAATATACAGTGTCTTTGGAAACGAGAGAACTAGTGTATCACATAAAACCTCTGATGGTTTAAAGGTCAAAATAAATGGAATAAACTGTGTCAGCAATGACAGATTAATCAAAGAGTTAAATTATAGTTAAATTTGAAGTCTTGTCAAGTAATTTAATGCTACATTAATGAATTTTGTAGCAAGCCTGTTTTGAATAGAATCCTTTTTCATCAGATGTTGTGCATATGCTCTCTGTTTGTCTAAAATAAAATGTAATGAAACAGCTAATAAACCCCCAATTTATTTGTTTCCTTTGAGAAATAAATTCTCGACATGCAACTACTGTTCTTTGTGTTCTATACATGCTTTCTCCYTTTCAGAGTGTACCTGTTGTTAAAYGTTTTCTCTCCTCTTGCTTCTAATTAATAAAAACAAAATGTGCAGGTATACAGGGCAGGAATGCAGGAAAGCTCTAAACCTTTCTTYTGCCACTCTGGAATTGTACAAGCACCCTTTACAACTCTAAGCTGTGTGGCCTGGGAAGCAGGATGATGAAATAGGAACTGGGAGAAGGCACAGCTTCATCTGTTTTCTCTTACRTTTGACCTCAGAGGTGATCAAGAGAAGGGAACAAGTTGTGATTCTGCATACATAAATTCTGAAGTGGGTTGGTTTTTTTTTTTTTTTCAGAAGTTTGTAAAGTTAGACTGGGAAACAGAGCAAAACTAAACCAATCTCACAAAAGTTGGGAAGTTAATCTTGGCATAAATGCATTGAAATAGGTAAAAATTTTTAATAACTTCTCATCTCTTCATCACCTTTGTGCCCTGCCTTCCAGTTCTTTGGCACTTATCCTGATCCCCAGGGTGCAGTTGTCTTATTCCATTAATAGCTGTATTAAACTTCATTTTTGCTGTTCAGGTCTTTGACTTCCTTCAACAGCAAGAACTGGTGTAAACTGTCTGTGAGAAGGTGCTGAGGAGCACTGCAGTCATCCGTGCCTATAAAAAGACTTGGAGCCTGTGCCTAAATACCATGCTCTGTTTATTTTCTAGAACAGTGAAGGCATTTAGCATTTTGGTTACAAAAATTTTCGTTTTTCTTTCTCTTTTTCTGAACGCAGGACCTTGGTGATGGTTATCTCAGTAAGACACACTTCCAAGTRAGGAATAGACACATCCCACCAGACCTCAAGGACAAAAACAATSATAACACTGAACAAACGTTATTTGCACATGTTGAAGTAAGTACAGATTTTTAAACTTAAGCATTTGTAAAATAAACMGTGAAATTAAAAAACCACTATGCTAGTAAGTCCTTCCAGCAAGACTTCAGATCTGAAGTTACCTGTGGCTTTTAATTAGTTTTCCTTTAGTTGTAGAAAAACCTCATTCAGGTGTACAGCTGTATTGATGATGTGAATTGGGAAGAAATGGAAAAGACTCCAGCATCCTTTTTGTAGGTGTTTTCCTCTTAGGATATTTCTTTGCAATTTGATTCACTCACATTAAGGAAACTTTTTTTTTTGTGTATTTGGAAAAAGATTAAACATCAAGRTTTATTTATCTTAAAGATAAATGTTGGTTAAAGGAATAAAGGAAACTTTGAGGTTAATATTAATTTCAACTGATCCTTATTGAATAAGACTTTTATACTCAGTGGCTGCTTTTCTGATGTGGAACTGCCTTAAAAGACTGTAATTTTTTGAAACTGGTGGTGGGAAATGAAATGGCCTTGGTGTTCTTGAAGGAGAATAAACCTGTTTCTTCCAGAAAAAAAAACCCAAAACTGTTCATTTAACTCTGGTTGGTCTAATCTGAATGCTTGTTTGAGTCTGCATTAGACCTCCAGATTATTGACTAATCAGAAAAAAATGACAGAGATTCCCTTCCTTGTTATGTCGTTACCATAAATAAGAAGATAAATCTTGGATTATAATAGACTGAAAGCAATGAATTCTGTATGTTATAAGCTACTGAATAGGTGGATGTGATATACTTTGCAGTTATCTTTTTCTGCAATTCCTTTCCTTATTTCATCAGCACTCTGATTGCTTTTTTTTTCCCCAYAGAGACTCTGGTACATTTAAGACATTTCTGGTCTGAAAAGAGTATTTTTTTGGCCTGGTTTCTGAAGGAAATGGCACTTAAAACAATTGTGCTATTAGTCTGTGATACAGTCATTTCTACTGATTCTTTAGCACATTCACAGGTTTCAGCTGCATTTTAAAGAGGGTTAGATATCTAAGTCATTTGATGAATAGCTGAAGCATTTTAAGGTTTTTCTTTAAATTGAATTCTAGTATTTCTTAAAAAGAAGGCTGATATCAATGCTTCAGGGGTTGTTATTTGATACTCACTAACAACAATGTTTGTATACTTCAGCCTGGACTTGTAACAATAGATTACTGTTTATATTAAAAATTGCTTTTGATGATTGTGAGATTTTTTTTTAAATAATGGATCAAGTCTTCATTACAGAGTGCATTTTTAAAGACCATCTGTATGAAGCTATTGAGTCCTTCTTCTGGCAAGAAGGTGTCAGTTATTGAAAATGACATAAAACAAAAAAGACTTCAGAGTCTCTAACACACGGAAATGGAGTCTTAAATACACTGAAATTTTATACTAAATAATACACTGAAGTAAGATTCCAGGCCGAGCTTTGTGATTTATCAAGATACTGAAGTGAGTAGTTCTTGAGATATTTTGAAAGATTTCTTTGTTTTAAACCACAGTAAAGTGCAGGTTGGAAGAACCCTCTTTGAGAAGGAGCCTTTGTACCTGTCATGTAGCAGCAGTAAAGATGAAGARTGAAGAAAGAGAAAGGTCTTAGGAAATTATGGAGGTTATAAAACCATAAGAAAAAAAAACAACCTAATTTCTTCTCCAAAAATATTCAGCCTAATAGAGATGACGTCAAATTTACATTCTTCATTGAACTGAAGRGTAACCAGACTGTTAAAGTTATTTAATCTATCAAATAGGAAAATATAATTTACTATGGATATGTAAAGTAAAGCTGTGTGTTTAACACTAAGAAAGATGAAAATGGTGRCTGTAGAGAGGTTACATTTTCTTAAGCACACTAGTTCCTGTGTAAGATGCATGTTCTTTTTCACAGAGAGAGATGTTTAATGCTAGAGACCAATTCCACTCTTAACAACAATCTGTTATTTAAATAGGTATTGGGTTTTGGGTTTTTTTTTTTAGTTTTAATGTATGTTGTGCCCATAAATCACATGGTGTTATGGAATTATGGCAATCTGTTTGAATAAGTCATTGAAATATGTTCTGATGAATAGCAAAAGTTGTGGTCTTGGTAGAAATTGGAAAGGTTTCCTCTGGCTRTATACATTTAATATTTATTCCTTTTTTTTTTAGAAAATTAGTAAATTTTATTTTTCTGTATTTTGAGCTAAACGAAGCTCTAGATAAGAAATTAAATTTCTTTTGGAAAAAAATGGCCATTGACTGATAGTTGTGTATTTCACAATTTTCAGTTCCAGAATYACTGTTATGATCTTGATTTTTCTATATTGTATCTATCATGTGTATCTCATTGGAGTATTTCCATCTGTCTWATCTGATCTCCTGCAAGGTGTGGTAGATACGGTGCATGTGCATGTAATAGTGTAATTAACCAGGAATAGCAAGAAAGGAAAAATACGGAAATTAAGATCCGAGTAATCAACATCCATTGTTAGGAACAAACTGTTGACAAAAARAAGAAAAGAAACTGTTCTGTGGAAAATGCCAGGGCATAAGAGGCCACAAGATTTTCCTCTCCTGATCCTGGGATTGCAGTTCAGAGGTTACAAGTGGAACCTTGAGTGGAACCTATGAGTTTTGGCAGAGAAGGTGAAAATTTGCCTGGAGGAAAATCAGAAGATATTTTTGAAGTTGGGGGAAGTTACGGGAAAATTATCCAAAGTGAGGGTTTAACTCTTATGCAGGTAATTGAACCCTGGACACATCAGGGGTCAGATGATGTAGAATAAATCATAAATACATCCTGTTGTAGTGTAGTACTATTAGGATGTTGAAACTGCAGAGGCAAAATTATTATTGTTCTGTTAATTTTTAATCTGTGAAGAGACACTGAAATCTAATGATATGATAAAGAAAATACACAAATAGCCTAAAGTAGCTTKATTCAAATAGAAAATCAATTATCAGTTATCACAGTATCAAAAATGTGCTRATATACAGGATCTACAGGAAACCTGATCAAATTACTTGGAAAGTTTATTTAACCTCATTGATCAGTATGGACAGTTAATGTTTCCAGCTTTCCWTCTCATTGTCTGGTGTCTAAATATCAGGAGCCTTCCTGATGGAGGAGTGTTGAATAACTTCATATTCTGGTCTTTTCCACAGAGCCGTCTGTATTATGTGCTGRTTCCATTTATACAAGTTGTGTTTTCACCTGAAAACCAAGAATAAAATTCTATGTGGGTTTCTTTCTGCTTATTTTAGCTATCTGCAATACAGAGCTTGTCACTTAAATCTTTGTTTCAGCCTGAGGAGGTAAAAAAGCATTTTTGGGTATAAATCAGTTGACCTATTTTAGGTGTCTGCTCTAAGAGAAGATGAGTCTAAAAGTGTGTGTTTTTCCTCTTGGGTGATCAAGGGAAGCTACACGATTAACCAGACTGTAGGTGCCTGCATGTGGTGATGTGAGCCCCATCCAACAAAAACGTGGCTCTGATATCATGGAAAGCAGTGGGAATTTGTGCTGGTGACATCAGTGAGGCAGAGATTGCATTTTGATGGTGAAACTTACACTCAGTTGAGGATTGTGTTTTGTAAAGTAGCAACTTAAAGACAGTTTAGGAAAGTTTGTCTTTTTATACTTGGCAGTGTCTCAGCTGTCAAGCTGTTTATCTTAACGAGGTGCCTGGGGATCCTGTCTTGGGCAGACCCTATTTTTCCATCTGCCTTCTTCCTAGAAAAGGATTGACACTGTTCTTCTGCTACACCATCCTCTGTTTTTTGTGGTTTTAGTTTAATCAGGATGTTTTTTTCACCATCCTGACTGGTAAACAGAAGCTACTAATGATGTGTGACTAATGATAAACTTCAGACCAGGCTGGTGGAGGTTGCCCTTCTGACCAGCAAGATCAGATTCAGTCCCTTGGATATGAGCTGAGGAGTCATAAACCTTTTAGAGTCTCTTTCAATAGAATAAAAATAGCCTGAGATGCAAAGCAAGGGACAGRCAGAAACGCATGGGCGCCATTTGAAAATTTTTAAGTTGCCATTTTGTTCTGGTTAAATTTTTATTGAATCAGTTGTTGTCTTTCTGAGCTGTTCTGACTTTATGCCAGCTGAGTGTCATCTGTACTTTTCCACAGACAGCATAAATCTTGTGTAACCACCATAAAGCGTTCTGGCTAATTCAACAAGGATCTTGGGTATGTATTCTTTCTTGATCCAAATCAAATCTGTCCTCCCAGGACATCTGTCAGGGTCTTTATCAGTGAACATGGGACTGTCTTCTTTTCTAGCAAGGAAAGAGCAGTTACATACATTATTGCATGAATTGTTGATAAGGTGAAAAATACTGTGCAAGATTCAAAGTGAAGGTAGTTCTCCTGCCTCAAAGAGCTTATACTCTAAAAGAGTCAAATGGGAAAATCTGGATTCACTTTGTGCATTCTTTTTGTTTGTTATTCAAATAGCCCAAGGGAAGCAATAACTTGGAGTAATAATTCTCAGTGTGTGTGGTTTGTCTCAGCTCCTCTGGGTATTGCAGAAGAAGTGAGTCAGCACAGAACCATTCCTGGAGCTGGAGCCACTGCCACTTTAGAAAGGAGTGGGCAGGTTGGGAATGTTGAAGGTGTGTTCCTACCTGATACTGCCTTTGGAAAATCAGCGCTGAAGCCCAACAAACACGCTGATGAAGTTATGCATTCGCTGTGTTGAGGGCTCCACCTTTGCTGGCAGCTTCTCATGAGTGTTAGTGAAGCTCTGCCTGATGGGGGACGTGGGAACGAGTCTGACATCTCTCCTAAAACATAAATCCATAATTTGCTGTTCAGCTCTGCTTTTGAGTKTGTAGCAAATAGAAGATTTACAATTCTTACCAATTATTAATCTTTTTTTKCTCTAAACAAATGCAGTACTTTTGTGGTTAGGAGCAACTCCATTATTTTGGAGCAAAAATAAATAARATGAACATGATGTAAACATTTGCAGAACCAGCCTTTGTTGGATGGTTGAGTGAAAACCAAGCAAACAG